TTTCTCAGTACATCATGCATGATATCATCAAGAATTTCATTAGATTTCTGATCACCTACAAATGCTCAGTAAGTAAACCTCTCTGCTTTGTAGATATCACCTTAGAAAGCTTGTAATCCAAATTATCTGAAATCTATAGAAGGATATATATATAACAAAAAAATCTCTGACCTCAAATTATTGTGTGAGACCAGATCTGTGTCTAGACAGAACTGGCATAACTACTAACCTCTTGTTGACACTGACTCAGACTCTCAAGGACTTTGGATTTCTCATCCAGTAGCTGTGCAACCTGTTCTGCCATCCCCTGCTCTCTACCTGAAAAACAGCCAATTTTGTCATTTAAAAAAAAAAAAAAAAAAAGTGGTTTATTTGTTAACATTCACAGGTCAAAGAGAAGAAAAACTGTCAGTGATAATGTTAAACGTGTCCATAAAATGACACTCAGGTAGAGGAAGTGAGAACTTACGTCGATAAATTCTGCTTTTTATCTGTGAGGAAATAAAAGAAATGAAAGAAAAGAAAAAAACTGTGCTTAGTGACAGGTCCGACAGTTCAAATAGAGGCCATACTTATCAAACCATCTTAGGTGGCAAAAAATATTTATGATATTGAAGTGAATATGCATGGCTGTGCACTCACAGAGCTGTAACATCTACAGGTGAACAACAGAAGTGTCATCAGGCCCAACAGGCCAGAGACAATGATAGGTTCCCATGGTACACCATACAGGTCTGGCCCAGGTCTCAAGTCATCGGGCAGAGACGACACCACCTGAGAAAAGAGAAAATAATGACCAGTTCCTGTTAGAACCTGTGTGTGTTTTTAAATAGGATATGTGAGTCCGGGAATAAAAACCTGATGTTCTACTGATGCTCAAGGACATTAGCTTTTCTGTCATTGAGTAAATATGACTGCCTCTTGAACATGGGCAAAATGCAGCCCATCTGCCCAAACCAGTGTGTAGACAGACCCGTGCCTTCTTAAATATATTAATACATTGTACTATATACTATGTGCCAAATAATAATGCAGCAAGTATCAACTTTCTCTCAGTAGAACTTTCCGTGGTCGCACACCTTGACAAAAAGAGAGATGCCATTTAAAAGACAGTTTTTTTTTATTAAAGAAGCAAATAAAGAACTTAAACTAACCATGTTTGTTAATAAGTAGCACGGTCAAGTGAGTGTAAGAGTAAAGAAATTGTGTGTGCAGTGTTTTTTGGAGGAAGGAATCAAACCAAGAAGAGGCATCTCAGCAAGAAGAGCCACACCAGCAACTGAGCTCTAATGGCTTTTGTAGAGCACCGGCACAATGGGCTGAGGTGTTGTTAATGTTGCTGATTAGAAATATGCCACACCTCCTCTCCAGATCCTGAAGAGAAGAACTAAAAGGAGACTAAAAGGAAAGCGGGGATGGAGGGCACAGACTCAAACTCCTGGTTAGATTAACCTCTCCAGCTCTCTGCGGCACAAAATTAGTAGTACCATTGCCAGCTGCATTTCAAGATGGTGGAGTATGAGTGTGTCAAACAAAGGTGAAAGTCCCACAACAATGATGAAACCAGCCCACTGACAGGGTACCACAGGAAGGAAGGTCCAGTGATAAATGATGAGCAGTGACTAAATTTTGAGAATAAGAGCATTAAGATTCACCAATGGTAAACTGATCACAACAAGGCCCCAGACTGATGAAAAAATTAAAATAAATCACAAATATACCAGGACAGCACTCCAGAGAAAAATCTGAGTGGCAAATACTGCATATATACAAAGATATATGTTTTTGTATAGATGCAATGGTGTTAACGTGTGACCATGCATTTGTTTATCATCTGATGGTACATTCACTGATGCATATCCAATAAATTTGAATATACAAATATATTAAACATTTATGATGCACCGGACTGACAGAGAAAGGTCAATATTTTCTAATAAGGTTCTTGGTTTTTAGGACCAGGATTTGGGCTTCCTGAAAGCAATCTGTCAAACTGCTAAACAAAATACTACCAAACAGCTGGTCTTTAGAAGATGGGTTTATGTACAGTTACCCAGTTTTTGACCACATTAAACAGGGCGCAGTGTTAATAGTTATATCATTCTACTACAGACAAATGTGGAAAAATATCTGTCATTTTTAACTTAAATCCGAACACCTGACAAGACAGCGCTGTTACTGACAACTAGCCAGCTAACTATTACCAGCTAACTGTTTGAGCAATTAAACATCTTTGAAAACACGAAGAATAATCCTGACAACAGGTCATACTCTTACTTCGGAATGAGATGGACAACACCAAGAGCTGTAGCTAGTACCGAAAAATACAAAAACATGACTGTTACATGGAAGCCCGTTACATTATTTCGGCTAATTGGGAATTGCTAACGAAACCTGCCACATAACGTACATCCTTCACTTTCTCCACGGCGATACTGTAGTAAGCCTCTGCCGTCTCCTGGAAGTCGGCCGCTTTGATGCCCGACTGGTCACTCGCCGGATTCTCTGCCATGTCCAAATTATTTCATCTGACGTATATTTAAACTTAAAAATTTTTATATTTACACCGTTAAGAAACTAGAGCTGTGAAGCGGGTCAGCGGCGGTTTCACATCCTATCCACAACACTGACGCTTAGGACTATACCACGTCCTGCTGGACGTCGTAGGGAGTAGAACGAAAACTACTGTACAGCTGTACAACCATTGTAAACACTCCAAACATCAAATAAAATCTGAAAATATAAAATAATATAAACACAGCATGTATAGTATAATGCATCACGTGCACGCTGTTTCGTGTCCTCACAAGTTCACCCGGATGATTGCACACCCCCGCTGGTGAAAATGGTTCAGTCGCAACGTCACCAATTGTAAGATGCCACACTGGCATATCGGAGCGCTTTCAAAGTGACACCAGGAGAAACAGGTGTTACCAAAATGACACCTGTATTATCATTATTTTGATCATTTTCATTCAAAGAAAAAGTAACACATTTGCATCGAACGGGTATTTGTCAACGTGTCGCGTGCTCGGCCTTAGGCCAATGACAAATTAGGAGACAGGTGAAGGTAAAGACGTCCCATATGAAAAAGAAAGAGAAACAATTAAGACCCACGTAGGAAAGTATGGAGTCGTAAAGCATTAACAGAACAAAATAAAAATGCTCTATTTTACTGAATTAATGAAATAACTAGGAAAGCTGTTCATACGAGATATGACATTTCTCAAACAATTACTATATTTTTCTGTCTTTTCCATGTGAATTAAAACATTCTGACAGCCATCCAGTATTTCTTATACTCACCAGTCTGGCCTCCATCTGAAACCACTTTCGCCTTTCAAAACATGAGAGACAGTTTGTCTTCACAGGTGTGTGAGTCCAGAGTGTCACAGACCCAAATGTGAGTAATGTTTAAGGAACCTAGCCAGCTTGACAGCTGAGACGTAAGCAAAGCTAAATGCCAGAGGGAGAGTCAGCTCAGCATGTCACCAGAGTAATATCTTAAAGAACCAGGCACCACAAAATGCCACACTGACAGAGCAGAGGGTGATTTTTAGTGCCTCCCATATATTTTTTTTTTGTACTATAACTTTAACACCTTTAATACAGGCATGCAAACACAGAGGCGGGTCAAGTGAAATGACTATATTAGAGAATTATTTTGACATATCAGGAATCATGGCTAGAAGATGATCCTGGTATCAAAATGTAGGTTATGCTATAACCTATTTTGAGGCTTGAAAGTTGCCCCAGCGAATGATCAGAAAACACATGAAATATGCAAAGCACTAATGTTTTTTTGCTATAGAAACTGATAAACCTATTATATTTAAGCTCTTAAATTTCATTACAAGAAAACAGCATACTAAACAAAACAAGATTTTGAATTAGATTGTGACACTTTGAGTGGCTGTAAAGTTTTAGGACTTGTAACTCGCAAAACATTCATAGAATGAAGATAAGATCTCACCTTCATAGAATGTATCATAGCAGCCCATGCTATGATACATTTTGCTTTTCCCTGTACAACATGATCAAGGCCACAATTAGCCACAAATCAAAAGCTATTGGACAAAGTATGTTAAAACTAGATCAGAAAAAAAAAATTCTGGCCAGGCAGCATGCACCCTGCACCCTGCTTTGACCTCAGCCCCCCTTCATCGCCATTGTGGATTAATCTCTGGCATGAACTGAAGAATCCCTCTCAACATACACAACACTAATCTCTGTAGATTAAAGCAAAAAGGTATATTTGGAAATCAAATGACAAAAAATTGGTTTCTGTTTCTGCAGATTATAAATCCTCAGAAACTGGCACAGCGTACCTGCACAGTAAGCCATATGAGGAGCTCCCTCACTGCACAAGTGTGGGCGTAGGGGTCTTCAGCCATCTGATAAACGAAGTCCAGAATTTGCTTCATAACTCCTGCAGTTCAAGTAACACACATACTGCTGTTTAACATACATCTCTTTTATGATGCTCAAAAAATATTTATCTTTTAATGTGACACATTACTGTAAAAAATGAAAAAAAAAAATTGTTTTGGCCATCCGGTTTTTGGGGTTATGTGAAGTGAGGACGATGACGAGGTAGGTCGAGTAGCTTTTGCTTAAGATTTTTAATAATATTTTAAACTCTTCTTGATTAATGGATACCTGGGTTATCCATACCTTTCAGCATCTCTGGTGATCCTGGCTGAACATGAGGAAGGGATGCTTCTTCAACACTTCTGCCCTGTTTTTTTCCTCTTATCTCATCTTTTCCTACACCACCACCCACTTGGTTATTGCCTTCTTTCATTATCATCCAGTCATCTCTCTGGATGGATGGATCTTGTGTCGTCTTCGACTCTTCCTCAGTGTTTGCTTTCTTATTTTTTCTATGATTTGAACAAGAGACGCCAACACAGCTGGCCTCGGCTGCATTTGACAGGGAAACACATGTACAGATGCAATTCAAAACCATGCCTGAATTTAAAAGACTGAATTAAATCTCATTAGTACTGGCCATGAGGAAGCCAGTAGGAGGCAATGTTGACAAAAACTACCTTGATGATTACGGTCGTTGGTCTGTCTTGTGTTGAAAGTGTGTCTCACTCTTCCCAACAGTGTTTCCAGTTTTTGAAGCGCCATAAGCATTCGGGTCTTTTCTTTGTCCTCCTGCAGTGCATCAGTGAGTGTCAGGCTAGGAGCAGTCAGCGTCTCCTTGTGATGATACAGAAGTCTCTCTACATCTGACAATATAGATTCATCCTCCTCATCAGGTTTGTACAACATGGTGTCTGAATTGGACAAAATGTAATCCAAAAACTGAAGCTTGTGTCGCCCAAAAAGCTCTAGCAAAATAGCTGTCTCATCTGCACCCATGTGAGCGAGCAGGTTTTTGTAATGTTTGGAGAGAGTTCTTGTCATCTCAGCAGAGGAAGGATGAAGCTGTGGCTGCTCTGTGATTGTGGGAGAGTCTTTGTGCACAACTTCAAGGTGGTGAGTGGTGGAATCTGGTTCTTGTTCAGGAGTTAAAGAGTCTTGCGAATGCAACGCCTCACCTGGACTAGTACTGAAGCTCTGGGCTGGTTCGGTGGACCCGTCAGATTCGGTGGTAGATTTCTGGCTGAAAACACCAAAGGGGTTTTTTAAAAGACCAAAAGCTCCACTGGTTTTACTCTCTGTCTCTGTCTCCCCACTCTGATCAGTAGGTGGATGTGGAGACGCATCATCAGTCAAACTTTGGGCAGTTTGCTCAGATGTCACAGACTGACTTTTAGCAGGGTCACTATGTGGGGCTGAAGGCTCCCTTCCTCTCTCATGCCAGGATTCACTACCATTACTAACATTTTCCCTCATTTTTATATCAGTGTCTTTATCCTCCACTACAACAGCAGCCTTCTCTGTGTGCGTCTGTTGATCGGAGTTTAACTGTTGTGCTTCTTTGCTGCTACTTTCAGTGTCTCCAGACTCCGTTTTATCTCCCTGGCCTAATGCATGAGTGCTTTCTGCCTCCTCTGAAGTGTTATTTGCTGTTTCTTCATCCGCGTCTATTATCTGTCTCTCTCCTGGTGTGTTTGCTTGATCCTTTAGCTTCTCTGTCTGTATTGCTCCTTCACCTCCTTCCTCTAAACCACTTCCAGCTTTTTCTTCATGCACTTGAGGGCAAAGCTCATTTGAACATTTAAAGCTGTCATCCACCTCATTCTCCTCTTGATGCACTTCTTCAACCTCTGCTCGGTCAGTCTCTTCAAACTTTAGCTCCTCTGCCTTGGCTTGTTTTTTCTCTGCATCCTCCCCATTTCTTCCTTCCACATCTTGGTGGCTTTCAACCTGTGCGACTATTTCAGTGAAAGATGATCCTGAGCCATTCTGTATGTTCATGGTGCTCGGGATCTTTGCCTCATAATAAGAAGACTGCACTGTTTTTCCTTCTTCATCTTTCTTCTCTTTTTCCTGTACACCCTCCAGTTCTTCTTCCCTCTGTAACATCTCCACCTTGGCCTCTTTTTCCTTCTCTGGTAACTCTTCTTTCTGCAGCTGTTTTCTATCCTCCTTTAGCTCTCCCATCTCCCCCTGCATACTCTCCACTTCTGCCTCATTAGACTCCTTTTCTTCCTCATCTTCCTTTTGCTCTTTCACCTTTTCACCTTCTTTCTTCTCTTTTCCCTCTAGACCCACCAGTTCCACTTCTTCCGCTAACTCCTCCACCTTGGGGTGTTTTTCCTCCTCTGTATTCAACTGTTTGTTAGCCTCCTTTAGCTCTCCCATCTCCCCCTGCATACTCTCCACATCGGGCTTATTAGACTCCTTTTCTTCCTCATCTTCCTTTTGCTCTTTCACCTTTTCCCCTTCACCTTCTTTCTTCTCTTTTCCCTCTAGACCCACCAGTTCCTCTTCTTCCACTAACTCCTCCACCTTGGGGTGTTTTTCCTCCTCTGTATTCAACTGTTTGTTAGCCTCCTTTAGGTCTTCCACCTCTACCTGCGTGCTCTCCACTTCTGCCTCATTGCTCTCTTTCTCATCTCCCTTTTGCTCTTTTATATCCTTTAAATCCTCCAATTCCTCGTTATCCTCCACCTTCATCACCCCTTGATTCCCCCCATCCTTTGACTCCTCCTCTTTTTCAGCCTCTAATTCAGAGCTGATCACTGACTTGAAGTCATTTTCATTCAAATCATCTTCTTTAGTGCCTGATGCTTCTATCTCTGTTTTAACCTGCTGGGACTCATTTATGTTGTCTTCAACAATTTCCTTTAGTTTGCCTGCATCACTGTTGCTTTCATTGTTAACATGCTCCATCACTGGAGACACGGAGGTCTGATCTGTGGTTGGTGCACTTGTTCCTCTATCCTTTGGGATAGTTTGAGTGCTTCTACCAGGGTTATGCTGTGAATCAAATTCCTGTGAGCTCAGAGTTTCTCCCTCCTGCTCTAACTCCCCATGAACTGTCTCTGCTTCTGTGTTATTATCAAAAAGAGCTATTGTATCTGAATTGTCATCATTTGTTTCAGCACTACAAGGAGTAAAACTTTCATTCTCAGCTGGAACTGGATCGTTTTTCTCCATAGATGACGGTAAGTGAGGCTGGCTCTCTGTGCTACTGTCTTCTACATCACCGTTCAGCTCCTCAGTCTGAGTTTCAGGTAAATCTGTATCCTCATTACTGACTTCTCCTTTATTATCGTCACCCCTGGTGATTTTAAGAGACATTTCTGTGGGTTCTTCTGTGTTATCAGTTTGATTTGTGATTTCTGCCCCTTCCTCCTCCATACTTTCTGATTTCTTGTTCTCCATCTGGTCTTTTTCATCTTCCTTGACCAGCATAGACTTTGACTTTAAATCCACTGAAACGTGATCAGGGCCCAAAATGCTTTCAGATGGTGTTTCAGGTGGTGGTGTTGAATCCTGACTGATAGCACTTGGAGTTTTTCTTTCTTCCTCTCCTGACTCCCTGCTATTATCCATATGTTCATTTCCAATTGGTTTGTGAATCACAGCGTCTTCACCTTCCCTTTCTTCAGATCTCTCCTCATTTATTTTGCTTTTTTCTATATTGTCATCGTCATCTTTACTGGGGGGTGATTCTACTAAAGCCTGAGATTCTTCTTCAAACTTCCTTTCAGGAGAAATATCTTTGTTATCAACTGTGGGTTCAGCCTCTTCATCGAAATCGCTGTTTATCCCACTGTCTGAAATATCTGTGTTGCTATCAACACTATGACCATTAAGTGGTTCTGTAGACGGGATATTTTGGTCTTCTGACAGTTCTTCCACCTCCTTTGAATTATTGCTTGTCTTAATAATTTCCTCCTCTGATTCACTGTGATCCACATTCTGTGATCCTGTTGGTTGCTCTAAAGTTGTGATTATTTCTGCCTCCTTAGATTCACTTTCTTTGTTTTCATTATCTCCAACTTTATCTTTCCTGAAACCTAGAATACCTTCAATCTCCATGTTTAACCAAGAATTAGCCTGCACCTTCTCCTCCTTCTCCTGTCCTGACTCCTGACTGGTCAAACCAAACCCCAGTGTGCTTGACAGCCCATTCCCCAGCCAACCTAAAGTCCCCATCTCTTTCTTCTCCTCTTCCTGCAACTGGCTGCCTTCAAGGTCCAAGGACATCCTCCTGCTCCTGAATTTCTCTGTGGGTTCTTTGTCTTCATCTGCTTTTTGTTCCTCTTCTGTCTCACTTTTGCTTCCACCTCCAAAGCTGAGCCACCCAGTCATGGTTGAAGTTAACGATTCAGCAGTTTCTTCTTTAAGTTTCACATTTTCTTTGCCATTGTCAGGTTTTCCATTTTCTCCGAAGCCTAGCCATCCTGTCACAGAGGATGTGAGCGTTTCAGACTGAGTGTCTTCCCTCTTATCTTCTATCTCCCCTTCAGCCACACTGTCCGGTTGGTCCTCTTTACCCAGACCTAACCATCCTGTCACTGAAGAACCAAGCCAGGAAGAGGAGGGAGACCCACCTTGTTGATTAGGAACCACAGGAATCTCATGTGTCTCCTCTTGAAACCCAGCTCCGGAACCACCAACATTTTTATTCTGATCCTCTTCTTCTTGTTCTTCTTCTTCCTGTGCAGAAACTGGGGAGTCTGAGGTTGTTAAGTGGCTTTCAGTGTTCGTGTCATCAGTGCTTTGGGTAATTTTTTGTGTGGTTTCTGGCTCCGGGATTTGGATTTTCTGGTCAATATAATCATCATCATCATCCATATCCAGATAAGTGGAGCCAAACTCATTCATGCAGAAGAAATCAGATTTCTGCAGAAAAAGGGCAAAAATGTAATTCTTAAGAAAGGAAACTAGGAAGAAAAATTAGAAATAATAATAATACTGACAATACTTTTTAATACTTAAAGTTTGTTTACATATGAATGATGAAATTACCTGTGTTTCCACTACTTTCTCCACAGTAGTATGAACCTCTTCTTCTTGCACTGCATCCTTTGGAAAATATCCAAACTCTTTGTCAATCTGAAATAAAAAAGGAAACAAAGGAGCTGTCAGCATTTTTCTTCTTTCTACCTTGAAGAAACCCAGAAATCTCAACATTTGTCATAATAGATCATTCTTTAAAAATATTCTCTGTCATTTGTTGTTTAGGCATTGGTGATGACTGCAAACATAATCTTTTATAATAATCAAATAATTCATTCTTCCTTTGCACAGATAATGGGGGCACTGTTATTCTGGAAAAGACCAATACCATCAATCAAAGGATAAAGGTCATCACACAAGTTTGTACTGATTAATTTGAGGTTGCCCTTTCATAGGGAAACACCCTGGCAGCACACTGCCCCAAACCTCACAGTACTACAGGGGTCAGAGGCTTAGGTTTTCCTTCTGCCTGTCTCTAAGTGAGAACCTGACATGAATGAAGATTTAGGGAAGTACAGAAAGGGAAAAAAAGATCGAAATATGACACATACACTGCCTGCCCACAGGTCATTCCTCTTTCCAGTCAATTTGTGGTAAACAAAGATTGTGTCTCCTTGCCTGAAGCTCAGGAAACGACAGTCCTTACCACGGTGGTCCCTTATAGCCTGCACTCTGCTTAGGAGGCCTACACACACCACAGCAATAGAACACAGTTGTGAGGTGACCATCATTATCGTCATTAATTTAAGGAGCTATCAGTAGATTTTGGACTTACTTTGACACTCAGAGTCTCCGCAGATCTTGTAGTCAGACAATAATCCGATATTTAAGTGGGGTAAAATCACTAAAACTGCACCCAGTGACCACAGGAACCTAGAGACCTGAAAAATAGCCATGATTATCTGACTTTTAACTGGAGGCTATAAGTAGTAAATGTCCATAGTGGGGTGGAAATAACTCCCGTTGTGCTGGCAAGTGAACATTGCCTCTGAGCTGCTGCCTTTTGAAGACTCAATGCTAAATGAAACAGCTGAGATAAGATATAAGGCCAGCATGGGGATAATCATTAACATCTCAGGCCTGCTTGCAATACCAAATATTATCAGTTCGCTGGTCAAAGGTTTCTATTTCATTAGAAGACTTGATATTAATGGAAATTTGCTTTAATTGATATTTCATTGAGATTTTAATACGTGCACACATAAACGGGGTTCCGGGTAAACGCTATGGCAATTTAAAACAGACCCACTCCATTATTTTCGACCTTTCTCCAGGACTGACAGCTGGTCTGTTGCTGTGGCAACAAGGCAAACGCGCGCACAAAGACGACGTCATCACTATGCGTTTGTTTTGCGAGAGAGATGGCGGTCTAGTCTGGTTGTGTTTACTCTTGGTAAAAGTTTAGTGTTTTGGTCCGTTGCGAGTCCGTATTTTTAATTGAGCTTGACTGCTTCATTTAGTTAAAAGCTAGCCGAGCTTACACATTCAGTCACAATGAAGTCAGACGTGGAGGAGTTAATGCCGAGACTGCTGCCCGTGGGGTGTGGATCCGGTACCGTGGGCGACCTGGACCTGAGCGGACCGCCGAGAAACCCCCAGGAGTACCTCCGACAGGTCCAGTAAGTGCATCGCAACCTGAAGAACACACCTCTTATTAATGCTCGCGTCTAATTAACTCCTAGATTCTCTTTGCCTGTTTTCTCTTTGGTGTGTTAATGTATTAGTTGAGGTGGTCGGGCTGCTTCAATGAACTTTTTTCCTTTTGGACAGGCTGGAGGCTTCATTGTGCCCAGAGGTGGTGGTCGCTCAGATTGACCCCAAAAAACTAAGGAAGAAGCAAACAGTGAATGCATCTGTGAGTAAACTGAGAGGCAAATGTATTGAGACTGGTTGATGCTGCAGATGTATGACAAATTAAAGGAAATGACAAAGCCCTGACCCTGATAGTGACAGGGTTCATTAGCTTTGTTACTCTGTGGTGTCTGCAAATCAAAGTATTTCAAGTATTTTTACCTTGATGTGAGCAGTCAGTCCCACTCATCATGGGTGTGAATGTCCTCATAATGTTGGGCTTCTAAATGATTTCTTTGAATTTTTCATTTTTTTTCAGGATGGAATGATTTTAAAGCATTCACTTCAATAACCTTGAAAAACAAGAATTGGGTGCACAAGTTTTAATTTACTTTTGATTTTCTGTAATCCACAAAGGGTCAAAACATTCATACCCACGATGAGTGGATGGAAACTTCTGAGCACATCTGTACGAATCTTTCTTAATATCTTTTCATAGTTTTCACTGCACAGTTAGAAATGAATGATGGGCTCTGAAAAATGTTGTGCTGTGTTCGATTTTTACGTTGATCATGTAAACAGTATACAGAAGTTCATTTGGCAAAGAAAAGAAGATGCTATACAAAATAAAACATAATACATTTCAATAATGCTTCATCTGTTCTGATTATTTCTCAGTTACATTTTTTGTGGGGTTGTTTTCTGGTTTTTAGGTGGCAGGGTGTCATGCTGCTCCAGTGGGTTTCTCCCCAAGTCTAAGATGGCAACAACAACAAGTCAGCAATTTCTCTGAAGTCAGACAGGTAAGAGCCTTTTTGCTGTTATGATATTATACAATAGCGAAGCCTAACAGAATTCACTAAAACTTTTTGTAGGTCTAAATCCGCACAAATTTGTACAAATGGATATTTTACAATTTATGAACTTTTGTTTACATTTACAACATTTTTTTTCCTTTAGAGTATCACAAGGCACAGGAAACACTGGACCAGCCAAACTCTAGATGACAACGTGCTGATGGTAATGTGGTAATGTGTAAATTTTAATGCTTCAGCATGCAATGCTTTCCTCTAATAACCAAATAAATACTTTGTCTTTCTCCAAGAGGCAAACTTAAAAACAGAATTCATGTTAAAATTTTATGTATGCTCGTATTTGTATGTTACAGCCGAAGCTAACGGATGAGGAGGGTTGGAAGAGGTTTTGTTTAGGAGAGAAGGTCTATCTGGGCACTTCATCCTCCCACACAGATGCAGAACCAGAGCCAGCACTGGACTATAGCAAGGTTATATATGTAATGGCTATATCTCAATGTTTTGTGTCATCATGAATACAATCTGTAAGATTTTTTGACAGTAAAGAAGCTGTCGGTCACATCTATCACCTATTGGTTAATGAGGTTTTGTCATAAAGCCTCCAACTGAGCACTGAAACTGGACCTGAAACCACACACTTACAAGTAACAACCTGTGATTGAAAATCTTCCTAATAATGCCGATAATTAAAAAAAAATCACTTTATGTTGTATTCAGTGTGAGCTGAAACTAGTGACGGAGTCATCAGGGAGTTGTGGGCCATTTTCCCACAGATTTCTATGTAAACGGAAGTGTTTTTATTTAGAGTGAAAGCACTTCAGCATCGGCATTACTTTTCAGATCCAAAATGTGTACTGCTCTATTTACCTCAGCATTTCTCTGTCTGTTCAGATGGGGTTCCCTCCCTTCCTAAGCATCATCAGCAGGCTAAATCAGGTAAACGATCCCTCTATAGACATTCAAGATGTTCTAAACCAGTCAAAGCCTGATTAGAAGATGTGTGTGTTTGCGTTTTCCCACCTGTCTACAGTCTACAGTGCTGATGGTGTTGGAAATCCTCATCGGCTGGTTCGAGGAACGAGAATTTGTTCCACAGTTGGTGAGTTTGATGTATTAGCGCCACATTTTTATGCTGATTCCGAACTCCACACGCATTTATAGTCATCCTGTGTTGCATTCAAGATAGATATGAGCTGACTATGCATTCCGCACAGATATCATGAAACCAAACATTCCTTCAGCTTCTGTCTTATGTTTCAGATATAGAAGGTGATGGTTTATTGGCTGCAGTTATTGTGAAATACTTGAGTTTGCAGTCTATCTTCTTGTTCCAGGGGCGCTGGTTGTATGCTTTATTGGCCTGCTTGGAAAAGCCTCTGTTGCCCGAAGCTCACTCATCCATCAGACAGCTTGCACGGAGATGCGCCCAGCTCCGCAGCACGCTGGTAGGCCACAATCCTACCATCTCCTGTAAAGCACTATCTCTATGTGCTATCACTCCATGCTTGAAACGGCCACAGCAGGCCATGTTTTTCTCGTTCTTTGTTGAGATTTGATGATATTTGATTTTATTTACGCTGAGTCTTTTCCCTGCTTGCATGACTTCACAGGACAGCCAGGAAGATGATAAACTACCCGCCCTCAACCTGCTCATCTGTCTTGTTGCCAGGTAAGGTTCTCTGTATTTTTCTTATATGAAACTCTGTGTAGAGAAAAACCCCTAAATGTTTTTTTGTTTGTTTTTTTTTTACCACCAGTGTCTAAATTGTTCAGGGTGATGATACCATGATATTGCTGTCTGGATGTGTACAGAGGATGCAGCTATACTTACTTCCTTTTATTTTACTGCAGGTACTTTGAACAGAATGATCTGGCAGATCAGCAGGAGTGAAGCCAACCTGATCTGTTTAACCTCACCAACATATGGAGGATCATATTGTTAAGTCTGGCTGCGGTGAAAGCTGAAGTTCGAAAACAAAGAGACTGGATTACAAAAACACATGTTTTTATTTGTAAGGTATTTGGTTACCTGCACAGAGCAGCGCTGGCACACAGGGACTACAAGAAAATGCAGCAGGATCAGGGCTACTTTTTTCAAACAGGTTTATGCTTTTCTTTGTGCGTTTATATGTGTGTAATTTAGCTCTAAATAAAAGTTTTCTATTATCTGTGATTTGTAAGAAAACTGTGTGTGTGTGTGTACATCATTGCTGATTATGTGTATGCAGGTTCTCAGTCATCCAGGTCATTTTATGGCCATGTCTGTTGTGAACAACTATTGAACAGGTGTGGTGGCTAACGACTCCAGCTATCAGCCACCTACAATACAGTCCCAGGTGCTTCAACCCCCTCACACATTGCCTCAAGTGATCTTAATAGCTCATGATAGGGTGGGGCAAGGCCTCACACACTGGTTTCATCCTTAACACTGGCATCCCCAGGCTTCTACCTACCTACCTAAACCCCCACGCAACATTATTTTGCGTTTCTACCTATAAACCTGGAGAGCAGTCAAATGGTGGAAGTGGAAGCTAAACTGGCTAGTCATTCATATGTATATTAGGCTGTTAAGTAGGAATTCTGGAGGGAGGGGAGTGGGGGTGTGTGATTGAGGGGGTGGGGGAGCTGCTAAAAGCTGTGAACTTCTTGATGCATTCTCAATCATCCAGGGAAATAAATCTCCATAAGTCACCAACTTGGAGTGTTTCAGTTTGCCATCTTAGGGAGAAATCTACACACATGGGTGTAGGTCCTTTGTTGCTGAGATTTATTGATAAAAAGTACAAAAAACCAACCATTTGTACACATATTTACAAATAATAATAAAAAGTGAGTGAGTACAAACAATTCAACATTT